CCAAGCCACTCTGGACAGGTTTCAGTATATATACAAACATAATAAAACATTAAACATTTTAAAAGTTCCCTATACAGGGCTGCCTACAGATGGCTCGAGGGTTGGATAACTCCATACCCTCCAACATTTCACCAATGAAAATAGGGACGTCCTAAGGAAAAGTGGGACATTCTGGGATCAAATAAGAAACCAGGACGGCTTCTATAAATCTAGGACTGTCCCTGGAAAATGGGGACACTTGGAGGGTCTTTAAGAATGTTTACTCAGATATCAGTTCCTAGTGAGCTTGGTGAGACTTGCTCCCCAGTTCGTAGGCTTAGGATTGTGGCCTTAGCTAATGTGAAAAAATGAATGTCTTTTATACTTTGATAGTATCAGGTGGGGAGGATGGCCACTTTGGCCCTGTCACTTTGGCTCACAGAACAAAGCTTTGCCTTTGAGTCTCTCGGTTGAAAAGCATACAATTTTTGCAGAAAGAAAAAGACATCCCCTTCTGATGGAGGTGCTTTCTTTTTCATGGAGTTCAGGAGGCACTTGAATTGCTTTCACCGTTTTGAGTAATGACTCTCCCTCCCTGCAATGTGCAAAATGTACACCTTTCTTTTTTTAATGACCTACTTCCGGAAGTACAGTGCCAGCTGTCCTAGGTCTGAAAATGCCCACACTGTGATGATAGGCAGTTCCACTATTTGTTTATATAGTAAAATCAGACACCAGCTTGTCTGTTTTCATTTGAATTGGTCTTGCTTTTGACCTAGCTCTGGCAAAAAAAAGGAGGGGAGGTTTTAATACTAGACGGAGAATTGAGCCCATAACACCTTACATAAGCAAGAGAAATCGTTGTGAAAGGACATCAGTCAAACACACTCTGGGAAGGGAATGAATGCTTGATCTCTACAGCACTGTTTGAGACAGCAGAATACACATCTTAAGAATCCTCAAGGAACACACTTTATGCGTAAGGGGTTAGAAAAGATGTCAGTTCCCCTTGGTAAGATAAGGGGATTAGAGAACAATTTCCCCCCTCTTTTTCTTCGCCCTCCCTCCCTGGGCAAATCTGTCAAAGGACTTGCCTGCGCTCCTTTAGGGAATCTAGATTCTTTCAGTTCCATGAATGCTGCTCCCGACAAGAGTAGCTGATTGACCTTTGCCTTTGTCACCACCTGATCCCTGAACACAGCAACTCTAAATGAAACATGAAGGTTTCAGCTGCAAAGATCTGTTTATTCTGCGCTGATGATGGAAACATGAATGCTATGGTTTATTTGAGTTTATTGCCCATTACTGACATCTAAAATAAATAAATAAGCAACTTGAATTATAACTGAGACAAGAAGTAGATAACAAATTTCTTTCTGTATTTTTTAAAGATTGTTCAAAGCAAACTTTTCTGCCAAAACCTGGGTTTTTCTCAATGCAAAGGATGTAGTGGATGAGGGAGGGGGGGTGCTTCAAGATAAGAGCCTAGGGTCCCTTGTGCTCAGAGCTCAAGATTTAGAAGAGAGGGTAATGGTCCTCTAATTTTTGAAGAAGCTGCTGATCCCCAATAGACCTGAAAGGACTAGTGGTACATTTTCCTTTGAATTTACTGATGGTACCAGAGACACACATTTTAGCCCCAAGGTTCTGCCTCCATTGTACTTTCAGCAAAGGAGAAGACAGGGAAATCCCTACCTGGTCAAAAGTGAGCACAAGTTGTGAATAAGTAGAACTGCAGCAAAATGTTATGGTATGGAGCATACCTGTTTGGTGTTCCAGCCAATCCGCCACACTTTCCATCAGGATACTCCATTCCATCCGTGAGAATCTAATTTGCTATCTGTCCAAAATCTCATGTGGGTGCTGTTAATCTTAAACCAATTGCTTTCCCATAATTTTCTATTTAAGATGGGAGAAGGTTGCTGCAAACAGCAACATTTCCGAAGTGATGGAAAGGAATTTTGCACATGTTCAGAGGCACTTAAAAAATAACTTCATATTTTACAGATTGAGCCATGACATTAAAATAGATCTTATGGGATTGGTCCCTGATTAGCTGTAGTTCAGATGCAGCCTTGAATGGAATCTAGAAGACTGGATATTTGACAATATATCATTCTAATAACTTGTTTTCTCCCTGCCCCTCCCCCTTTTAGATCTTGACTCCTTTAATTCTCCTTAAACTCAGACACACAAAACCCTCCTCTCATCGAGATCTCAAAGAGAAAATTAGAATAAGAATACCCTGAGAAACTGGAAAGAAACCTTTTCCTCACCTACCTTCATACAATACACCTATTTTGACTAGCCAGATGTTGACAGTTCCCAAATCTGAGACAGCTGGTTAAGCAACCCCCAGGGCTAACTGCTCCAAAAAACACTTCTTCTCAACAGGAATCCAGAATCTCTCAGCTAATTATCAGGGTTGGGATTCTCAACTTAATCATCACTAGTAGGTCTCTAGAGTGTGGGGGAATCAAAGAACTAACCCCTGCTTTGCTGATTTAAGCATGCAGAAAAAGAGCAAAAGTCCAACGCAATTATCAACTCCGTGTATCTGATGCAGCATGTTCCCAAGGAATGAGACCAGCTTAAACTAATACAGAGACCAAGGAAGGATCTCCTCATTTACAGAAAACAAAGTGTTTCGTTCATTAAAAAGCGACATAGATGACAGTATTAATCTGGTTTCTTTGTTTTAAAGTCAGTTTGTACTAGACACTGCATATGATAAGATTCTGTCTCTTATTGTGCATGAACCATAGGAAGAAGGTAAATAGTTACTTCCCAAGATGACAATAACTTTTATACAGAGCACACAGGTTCTGGTTCAATTAAAAACTAACTTCAGGTGGAAGGCATACAGTAATTTCTCTCCATCTTCCTCATTAACTTTCAGTTTGACAGGAAATCATGTCACTGTTATTTTGCCTCTCCATTATGTGTCTGATTTTGCATCTGACACAAGTTTCTGCCGATAGACTTCAGTTTTTATTTGCAAGTACTGAAGTGCCACATAGCATGCACCACTGCGCTACCAAAATATTAAGGATGTAATTATTTTGCAGCTATTCGGTGGGATCTTTTCTTAAAGACAAATACTCCCATGTTTGCATAGAGAATATCAGCATCCAGGAATCAATGCCAGGTAAAATTTGTTGTGGATGGTTGGAGTATGGATAAATATTCATTTTTATATTATTATTATGGGGTTTTTTTAAAAAAAACACCCTAGAAAGGTGTGATCATAATTTTCTTGGACCATGTCAGCACTAAATTCCAGCCAGACAGGTAGAGAATGCAAAAACTTTTTGGAGTATATAACAGCTTTGTGAGGTAGATTAGCCCGAGAGTTGGTTTCCTGCCCAGGGCAGGAAGTGAACAAAGGCAATGATGAGTTGAGTGTACATTCTCAGAGTATTTTCTTTTCATTTATCAAGGTAGGAAACAAAAAAATCATTTGCAGTTTGCTGAGAGTTATGAAACTGCATAAGCTCAGGGTTGTGTTTTGTAGTCCACAAAAGTGTATACTATTTTAAACATGTTACTCTTTAACATACCACATGACTTTCTGTGGTACATTTTTATGTGTTCCTTTTGTGGGGATGGGGGATCCCTATATTCAGTGCTATTTTTCTAGAAAAAGAGGTGCCAGAACTCTCCTTGAACACCTCCCTTGTACTCTTACAATGGCAATGGCACACACATGAGAGGTGCCAGAACCGAGTTCTGCCAAGTTCTAGATGGGGGGGAAACTGCCTATATTTGAAACTGCACCAGGGCCTCCAACCACCTTCATCTGGCCTTGGCTACAAATGCTAAATTGGGGCTGGAGAGACAATTCTGCCTTTCTTGCTTGCGCTCAGCTGTTTGCCTGAGACTGGTGTCTTCAAGGCTAATGGCAACTAGAAAATTGCTCTGGAAGGAATTGCCCATATAATGGGATGCATCATCAATATAAATGAAAACAAAGTAAGATACTGGGTATAAGATGCAAATTAGCAGAGAATGAGATTCACTTAGTTTCTCACCAGAGAATTAGGCTTCAGATGAGATGCCTCTGTAGAGCTGCCAAACAAAAGATAGACTTATGTTCCTGCTCCCTCATTGCTCCTGAGGAGGGACCACAACTTGCCATAGGATGTTAATTGAACAGGATGGTGCTGGAAGGAAATATGTGTCAGTACTAGTCTCCCAGTGGGAACGCATAAAGGATATTCGTGGAATAACAGGATTAAAAGAGCACCTTGGGCCCAGAATGTAGGTCTTAAAGCAAAAGAGCCAGGAAGATAAGTGATTGGGGCTTGGGAAGTGCATATATATATATATATCCCCCTAAAGATTTAAGCAGCCTCAACATGAAGAAGAAGCAGACAGGCTGCCAAAGGAGGCAAAGTTATCATCATGGGAAGTAGTAACTCATTGTAATACATCTGTATTTCAAAGATCATATTTTAAATAAACGGCATCCCAAAACACTTTGCAGAGTTAAATACGACAAGAAAGCAAAGTGCATTTGGGGCAAATTGCAGAAGCCAGTGGGGGTAAAGATGAGAAGATGCTGTGCTAAGTATACAAAATCCACAATTTGCCCATGCAGAAAGCAGGCAGAGGCCCAGGCCAGATGTTCAACTGCTATATTAAATAATAATAGCTTGCAAGAGAATACATATCTCTTTTCCCTCCAAAAACATTGTTTCATTGTGCTGGTATGAGTCAGCTGGTCTAAACTGACGATACTCAAGAACATTTGTAGATTTTTCTCTCATTCAAAGAGGTGACCATAAACTGGATGAATGATAATTATGTTCCTTTCCTATTTTTTTTCAACAAGGAGGGGAAAGTACAAGAGTGGGACTGGATTTCATATGCTTCTGCCTAAAAGGGGGAGCAGAAATATATATCCATTTATGTTGGACATAAAGCTTCATTTTATACAGAGCAGCTCAAAACCCATAGAATTGTAGAGTAGGAATGAACCACAGGCGCCATCTAGCTCAACCCCCTGCAATGCAGGAATGTTTTACCCAACGTGGGGCTCAAACCCCCAACCCTGAGATTAAGAGCCTTCTACTCTACCAACTGAGCTATTCTAAATCACAGATCAAAGAAGACAGAGTGCCTCAAAAACAGATATGGGTGGTTTTTTTAAGTACCGATACAAGGTGAGCCTTGGGACCTATGCACACCCCTAATGAATACTGAATCAAGTGTCTTACCCTAATTAAAGAGCCTCTGCAACTTAGACCATTAACACTGTTTGCCTCGCCTGAGTGAAAAGCTACTAATGGCCTGAAATACCACCTCCGTTCTATATAAGATGTGGAGTTGCATTTCAAGAGGAGCAATCTTGCAGCATAACCCGCCTCAGATATGCTTTTATGATTCACCCATAGCTTTTCACTTGGAGAGTTTTACATCACGGCCTTGGCAGACTCCCAGATGTTCTCCCATGCAGGCTGCTATTTTTCCTTTAGCTTACCAAAAATAGCCATGCATAGATTGAGTGTCCTCAAATTACTAATGCTTACAGGCAAGCATGTTGTCAAATTTCCACTGGGCAACCAAATCCTGCTGCGGGTTGACAAAAAATAAAGATAAGAAGGGAAGCTAAGTACATATTCGTGCGTGGAAGACTTGACATTTCACAAGATTTTTTAGAATGTCGGCTCTCCGATCCTTTCGATTGGCTGACGTATGTATTTGCTTCTCCTTTTCAAGGATATTTGCCTTTCTTTTCTCAATAACTACAATCACTAAGATAGTAGCTGGGCTCTCGTGAGCACACAAACCAGGTACGTTCAAAGGTTCAGCTCATTCAGGGTTGAATGTTGGATGCCTAGCAGGAAACAAACCTCTGCTATAGGGTCACTATTTGGTTTGTGGTCCATGTGCAAGGGCATTACATGCAACAGTGGCTCCTTGGACTTAAGTATTAACCACACTAAACAAGTGGTTTAATAGAATCATAGAATCTTGGAGTTCAAAGGGACCGAAGGGCCATCTGAGTCCAACCTCTTCTGTTTGTTTACTCAAACAGAAGAGCTCAAAGGTAAGGGAATCACTGGTAAAAGAAGGACTTGAACCTTCTTTTGGTTCTTTTGGTAAAAGAAGGACTTGACAAGGGAAGACTTGAACCCTGCCCATTGTGATGCAATAATGAGGATGGGATTATGAAGAAGGTTGAAGCCACTGACCAATCAACAGAGCAGTAGGTGTGTGTGTGACTGTGAGAGAGAGATTTATTGCATTTATATTCCACCTTTTTCTTTAAGGAGCTCCTTGATTCTCCCATGATTCTGTCACACACACACTTCTCATTTAATCCCCACAACACCCTAGTGCAGTGGTTTTCAACCAGTATGCTGTGGCACCCTGGGGTGCCTTAAATGATGGTCAGGGACAACACTGGCCTCTGTCCCTCTTTCTTTCCCTCCCTTCCTATGTTACCCTCTTGCGTCTCTGCCTCTCAAAGGCTTGCACAGCTGTTTGTTTTGCAGCAGCCCTGGCTAAAAGCTCGACAGGCACATGGTGCCTCTGGGGCTGGCCAGGGGGTGCTTCCCAGGCCCCATGTGGGGCAGTGTGAGGAGGCACCTCTCTTTGGGGTGGGGGATAGGGTGGCTCAGAGACCAGGGCAGCAGCTGTGGCTGCCCAGAGGGCTCCCAAAGAGAGGGGAGAGGAGGCTGAGGGAAGTGGTGAGGGGCTGCCGGCTCTCCTGGAAAGGGGTGACATAACTGGGCTCCTGAGCCCCATAAGGGTGCCGCAGAATGAATGTAGTTGGTCAAGGGAGCCATGATCCCCAAATGGTTGAAAACCTCTTCCCTAGCAAAGTAAGTTAGACTGAGAGGCAGTGACTGGCCCAAGGTCACCCCTTGAAAGTCATAGCTGATTGGAGATGTGAATCTTGGTCTCTTAGGTTCCAATTTAAATCTTTGGCATAGTCTTAAAGTTCTGGCTAGCTTCTGCTGCTTTTCTTACTTTCAAGGTACATTACTGTGGCAAATAACTGGCACTGGAACTAGGAAGCAAGCAAAGACTGAGGAGGGAAAGTCAGATTTGTACCATGCGACTTTCTTGGATCTGCCCTCTGCTTCTCTCACACAACCCAAAGATGCTGCTCTGGTAAAAGTATAGATAAATTGATTGATTGATTGATTGATTGATTGATTGACTGGTTGCAATTATGTCTCACCTTTCCTCTAAGGAGCTCCAGGAGATGTGCAAGGCTCAATAGCAGGCCATATGCATAATTTTCCAGCTACCAAGTGCATTCTCCTCTGTTACTGTTTAACAGTTTTATTTGCACAGGAGTTCCTGACAAAACCACCGCATTTGCATGAAGACATCTGAAGAAGCTGCCTAGATGTTTTATCCTGCCTTGAAATGTTGACAATATTCTTCCAACGAGTCTCAAATGCTAACAGAAGTAAACCCAGAAGTCCTATGTAACTCCCGCAGGCTAAAACCTTTAGGCTGGTTGAGCAAGGTTCAGTCTTAAGTATTGCAAATTGGCCTCTTGGCTCCAGAGTAGAATGATTTAAATCAACATGATTGAAATAATGATTGAAATTACCAAGAAGAAAAGATTTAATTTGTATAGCATTTAGATTTAAACCAGGTTTCCCATTGGTACATCTTATATTTCCTTAACAATTATGCATTATCCTTGGTCAAAGCATTAACACTGTCGGAGACAGTATACTGAGACAGTACTGTATATAATAATAACAACAACAACAACAATTAATAAATATTTTTTTATTTATACCCCGCCCATCTGGCTGGGCTTTCCCAGCTACCCTGGGAGGCTCCCAACAGAATATTAAAAACATGATAAAACATCAAACATTAAAGACTTCCCTAAACAGGACTGCCTTCAGATGTCTTCTAAAAGTCAGATAGTTGTTTATTTCCTTGACATCTGATGGGAGGGCGTTCCACAGGGCGGGCACCACTACCAAGAATGCCTTCTGTACAACTCCAATCTGCAAGCTAAGGAAGTTAGATTGGTAAGCACACAAACCAGGGCACTTTGGGCAGTAGAGTATGACCACATATGCTATCCCTGGCCACATGCTATTCAGGCCACATCCCTGAATCTTTTTCAAACCAGCTTTAAAAATCCACTTTTTTACCATGGCTTTTAGGAATTTATTATGTCTTGTTGGAGAGCTGATTGTGAAGTCTGGTTCTGGTGGCTGCATTAAGTTACACTATGTAATATTTTGTTGGATTATAACTGTGTTTGCTAATTTTAATAATGTTGCACACATAACATGTTGAGATGATGAAAGATGTTTTCAGTGGTGTTTACTGTATTCTGTGGCTTATATTTTCATATAGTTTGTAAACTGCCTTGGGCAGAATTTTATTTTTGAAAAGCAGTATATTATATTAACGAATTTAAGATATCTGCTGTTGATGACTAATAGCACAATCCAAACCCAAGATCTTCTGGAATAAGTGAACTTGGAATAGGAAGATCTTGGGCGGTCTTGGCTGAGTTGGAGCTACACCAGGGTCACTTTCTCACCTGTCTCAGCAGGAGTTGTACTGGCTCAGCCAGGGAAATCAGCAGAAGCTCCTCAAAATGGATGTTCTGGGGATGTGGTAGAGGCAGGACAGGACAAGGAGAAACTTACACCTCTTCCAAACCTTGTTCATCTCAGTCATGTGGCCTGGCAACTCAGAGGTATTTATGCAGACAAAAAGGGTGGTGTAAGTCAAATGGCCTAAACCTGAAGGAGAGTCTCCACCCCCATCATTCAGCCTGGACACTGAGGTCTTCCTCTGAGGGTCTTCTGCTTGTTCCCTCACTGCGAGAAGTGAAGTTACAGGGAACCAGGCAGAGGGCCTTCTTGGTAGTGGCACCCTCCCTGAAAGGAACACTCTCCTTTCAAATGTCAAGGAGATAAAGAACAGCTTTTAGAAGACAACTGAAGGCAGTCATGTATCAGGAAGTTTTTAATGCTTGATATTTTATTATGTTTTGATATATGCTGTAAGCCGCCCAGAGTGGCTGGGGAAACCCAGTCAAATGGGTGGGCTGTTATTATTATTATTATGAAGAAGAAGAACTCTAGACCTGCTTTTCCCTCTGCTGGACACAGCCATGCTCCTGAAAGGAGACTGGAGTAGGGGTAACATAGGCCAGCTTAATTTAAGTGGCACAAATTTCCCTGGCTTCCTATGTTTAGGATTGCTCTGCTAATCTGCAATATCTCTATGCACATGCCCAAAAATGCCATGAGTCTAATGCCTTCACAGGAATTCCTCAAGAGGAGCTACTGAAATACCGCCTATATGACGCCCATTGACATGATAGACTGGCAAAGTCAAATCTCTTCAGAAAGAAAAATTAAGTGTGATTACTTGATGCAAGATATATCACTCAAGCTAGTCAAATTGTTATTTTGGGAAATCATAAATTTGTATTTGGTGTCAGTGTGTCACTCATTAAGGCCTTATGAGAATGATTAGAAAATTATCTTAATGAGGAAAAAATGTTAGTCTTCCTTTAATTCCCTAAAATATGTGATTACATCACTTGTTTGAGTCTCAGATAGCCGTTGATGATTTCAGTATTGCATTGATCACAAACAGGTCCTTGATTCATTACATTACTTCAAGTTGCAGTCTTTCATTGGCCTGGTTAGTATGTCATGCTAAGCCCAACAATGGCTTAGCCCCAAAACATGAGTGTGTGGGCTCCCAAAAAGGAGATTGCATCTGCTTCCCTCCTCCCTCCTTTTCTGCTGCTGCGCTGAGCTAAGCATGGCTTGGCTTAGCAGCTTGTCTGAACTTGAACTCTTTGCTTAGCTCTCTTGGACAAGCCACAATTCCTAAACCATAGAACAAAGGTTACAGTTAAGGATGGAAGGATCTATCAGTTTCAGTTCTCTCAATTTCTCATTTTTACAATCTGAAACCCAGTTCTCCACATTTCTGCAGCTATTCACTTTTTTCCTTTAAAATGCTCATGAAAATTCACCAGCATGTTAATATGAATTTCTCCTAATAAACACATTTATGTACAGTGGTACCTTGGGTTACATACGCTTCAGGTTACATACGCTTCAGGTTACATACGCTTCAGG